TTCCGCTCGACATGCTTATGGGCCGCGAATCGACCTTCCGGCCGCCGGACCGGTCGGAAGATCGTGTCGTCCATACTAAAGAAGTACTCGGAACTACCCCTCGTCGACGGGGTCAGCCGCCTGGAGTACAAGTTTTCCGAAAGCTGATTTCACATAGCAAATAAGCAAAAGAACTAGTACGCGTTCCTTTAGCATCTCCGGACCGCGGTCTCGATGGTGTACTTCCCATCGAAATCGGCGTCGATCGGGCTGCAAAACGCACGCCGGTGCGACCGCCCTATCTCGTGAATTGGCATCGATGACGATTCCGTCTTTGGCGACGAGCTCGACATCCGGTTTGGGGAGGCACTCGGGGGCGATCCGTAAGTCGTCGTCGTCGTCTGTGCGCTTGCGCTTTTCCGCCGCCGACATCGGTCACACGTGCGTCAACCTACAAGGTCTGCGCGCGACCGTGTTGTCGCCAGCCGAGTCGCCTTTGTGGAGATTAGCCTATGTACGTGCGAGTCCTAATCCGTGCCGGAGCATCCACCCCCATCCCTCCGAAGAGCCGATTACCTAAAGCGCGACGACGCCGCCCTATTGCGCCGCGGGCGCCGCGGCCTTGGCGGCGGCCGCCGCGGGCGGCGCGGTCGCCGCGGCCGCGGCCTGCGGCGGCGCGGCGTTCGGGTCCGCGTTCGCGTTCTCGGCGGGCTTCGCGTTCTCGGCGTTGGCGCCGCGCGCCTGGTCGCGCCGGCGCGCGTCCTTCTTGATCTGGGAGATCTGCATGTAGAGGTTGTTGCGGTAGTCCTGGGCCGTGAGCTTCGTGTTGTCGTCGATGACGATCTTGATGGGCCCGCCCGGGTAGTCGGGCTCCTCCTCGCTCTTGTGGAACTCGGCGACCCAGGCGTCGTTGAGGGCGTCGACGGCGGAGACGCGGTTCGCCGGGTTGAACTTGAGCGTCGAGTGGAGCACGGACGGGCCCTTGGGGTCGCCCGTCGTCGTCCCCAGGTCGAGCGGCACGCGCGTGACGTTGCCGATGCTGTCGAGCATCTGGGCCGCGTAGGGCGACCCGACGGCGTCGACGTCCTCCTTCGACGGCTTGCCCGTGAGCTCCAGCACCTTCTCGAGCTGGTTCACCGTCGACGTGCCCGGGAAGATGGGCTTCCCGTTGAGCATCTCCCCCAGGATGCAGCCCACGGCCCACATGTCGACGCCCTTCGTGTAGACGGGGCTGCCCAGCAGGATCTCCGGCGCGCGGTACCAGCGCGTCGCCACGTAGTCCGTGAGCACGGGGCTCGGGCCCTCGACCTCCGCCACCGACCGGCAGAGCCCGAAGTCGCAGAGCTTCACCTGGCAGTCGCTGTTCAGCAAGAGGTTCGACG